AAAATGTTCTGTATATAAATTTTGATTCCTTAACGGGATTATTAACAGGGAGTGAATGTTAAGTTTTATAAAATAAAAGCATCATTTGACTTTTTTAATTGATCTAATGTCAGATCAGTTTAATTTCTTAACTTATTTTGTTTCTAAACACTTATAAATTATAAAAAAAAAATAAGTATGGAGTAGTGAGACGTTTGATAGTGTGTGGAATCTTCATCTCCCTCTCTGTACGCGTTTAACCTTGTTCTGATGTAGCCGGTTGACGTCAACTCCTGCTGACGTCCAACATGAGGAGGAAATGTTAGCAGACCTGACCCGGCAGAACAGGTGAAGCGACTGGGGTGTTTCTTCAGACTCGAGAGCAAAAGCGTGACATGTAAGCACAGTGACTGGGCAGGAGCGCAGACATAGTGTGACTTTCTATGTTCTCTGTCAGCGTACATGTAGAGCAGCGGTCAGTGCATACACAGATTGTACACAAAACAAAATTTCGTTACATACAGCTTACCGACAGTGAATGAGCAGCAGCTTAGCAGTGAAAATGAACATTTCCGTTCATAGAGTGCAGTAGTGATCAAAGTGTAAACAGTGTAGGAGACACCTGGTGCAAAAGGCACTGATGTGGAGGGTTCAGAGCGGTGCTAAAATAAAAAAAAAACTCGATATGGTGCAAAATGAAGTAGAAACACTGAGTTGAGTTCTATTTGAAAGATTCACCATTTATTGCAAGTATGATGTTATCAGTGTGATGCAGAGTCTCTCTAGGTTGCCGTATAGCCCGGCCAACCAGACTCAATCACAGTTTGGGAGGCGGGACTTTCCGCAGCATGACCCTCAGCCCCAGAATGACCAAATAATGCCACAGCGCTTTTCTGCTAGCATAACAAGCTGGCAACTCCAACGGAGCAATATTGCAATGAAAATTAAGAACGTAATATATCCTCAGATTTTTTTTAGGCAAAATCGACATAAATATTTCACTGCAGATTCTTTGTTGGCTGGACATGTTTCAGAGACTACAAACTTACAAAAAAAGAGCGTGTTGCTTGGGGTTTTAAGGTCACATTCGCAGTTATCTGATGGGTTCTAATCTACCGCGAGCTTTACGCAGTAAAAAACGTAAAAATCGTCTGTCTGGCCCACTGATTTCTATTCATTGGATTGCTGATTGGCCGAAAAAAGTGAAGCCACTTTCCGCCACGCTGGTACTCCCCAATCCCACCGAGATA